AAAAAAAAAAAAAAAAAAAAAGGAAAAAATGATATTCAACTTGAGATAGTACAAAATATACATAGGATACGTACAGGGTAGGGCGTAATTTAAAACAGAATGAAATTCATTATAGTCTAAAGAAACGAATAAAAATATTTCTTTTGATATATATTTGAAGCTTCACTTTGTAATTGACATGCATAATAACAATAAAATAAGTGGAGCTAATTGTTATAAGGAATGTTAAGTGTAATTTGCTGCCTTTTGATAAAATCTAGCCAAAGGTTGTATCATAAATATGGTAGAACTTCCAAACATGTCGCATAATATAGACTCATTGTAGTATGAGGTTGTTCACCATTAACTGGTTAAACAAAATTCTATTGTAACGTGCCTTTTTGATATTTCATTTGCTGACAGATTATGATGAGAGTATATTATACCTGCAGCGAAAGAATGAGTCATATCGCAACAAATTTAATTATAAAATCCTGTTAATTTTTAGAAAAGAAATGTGAGTCTGGCAGAGATAAGTAAATATTATAATAGGTATAGATACAGACGTACATCTGGAATCGCATATTTATATTTATTATATTTTTTGTTAATACCAATTATATATTATAAATCATACGTGACAAAATGGAAATTTTCTTAACAACATATAATGCCAATACATAATTAATTTTTGAAGTTCATGAATGCCGTGGCACTATTTCAACGATAAATGTTCGTATTTCCATTGGTTTTAGAAGGACATTTATCACACTTCCTTCCATTTCTACAGAATGAGAAAGATTGTCTTCCATTTGGAAAACATCATTCGTCTCAGATTCCCATTTTAGACGGTTCATATCCTGAATCCATTGGTTGCCACCCAACGTGGTCTCCTTGATAGATACAACGGTAAAAGTTGCGAATAGATCCTGTTGTGACAAATTGGTAAACTTCACACTTGCAATATAAATATAAGTAATAAAAAATTTACGTATATATTACGTAAGCATAGAAGAAGGGAACTTTGCATTTCTTCTGTACGCGTAATATTGAGATTTAAACTCAAAAGTTAGTTTGTAGAGAAATGAAACCGAGCAACTTTGCTGCAAACCAACTTATGAGTTTGAGTCTTTAGAGAGGAGACTTTACAAGAGAATCTGATCTCTCGCTTAATTAGAGAGAGGCGTGTTGTTCAGTTCTTCAAGAGTTCATAATACAGTTTTGAAATATTCATTTTTGAATCGTTGAACGTAGATGCATAGATAGATCGTTTGTTTAAAAGCGACATACCTGAATGTTAACTTCCACGGGCTTCGACAAGCTGGCAGTTTCACCAACTTCGAAAATGTGTTCCAATCGGAGTAAAACAGTGTTGTCCTTCCATGGTTCCAAAGTTAAGATATGAACGTTTGGTGGCAATGCTTTAGCAAGACCTGTGGCCTGATAAAAGAAGTGACGAGTGTAACGATAAATTTCTATTTCTTATCTGCCTATTTCTATTCCTTACAGCGTAAGAAAGGATA